CTTGCAAAATGAAAATGAATTCCATTTTGATTTTTGCAGGTTTATATCGCATACATGGGAGGCCGCCCAAAGGGTGAATTCTCTGCTTCAACCCTTCACAGTAGCATTCTTCAAGAAGTTAGTGGCAGGTTCATTCTTAACAAGAAGAAACAATTTTACAAGCTCCTTGATATAGCAATTAGTGATCTTATTTAATTCAATGATTAAGAATATTTTAATTATTAATAATAATTATCAACTATCATATTAGATAAAATCGTTAACTATTAATTTCAAATTGTTATACCAAATAAAATTTAGAACATAATTCAAAGTTTCCAACCTAGCTATGACCATGATTAGGAAGAGAGTTTCACAAATATCCTAACTTTTTGTGCTACGCAATTGAAGTGGTGCCGTAGAATTTTTGCTCTACGGCTACGGAAGGAGCTTCAATAGTTTTGCTGCCAACTTGACTGATGATGAAGCACGAAAATTGACCGGTAATAAATATCCGCAAAAATAAAATTTTGATGTGTTCCTAATGGAAATGATACATTTTTTTTCTCTTAACGGAGAGGGAAGACGTTGTGTCTGTGTTCCCTAACAGAAAGATGCAGCTTCAAACGACAAGATCATGGGATTTCATGGTTTTCTCCAAACAGGTTAAAAGGTCGACTCTTGAGGGTGACATCATTGTGGGTGTGTTTGATACAGGGATATGGCCGAGTTGGAAAAGTTTCAGCGATTAAAACTTCGGTTCACCTCCAAAAAAATGGAAGGGAAAATGCCAAAAATCATCCAATTTCACCTGCAACAAGTAAATTCAATTGAAAATAAGCAAAATCACATTCAATCATACGTGGGCTTTGATTATTGTAAAAAATTACTTCGATTTCTTTACCGTCAAATTGGAGCTCAGTACTAATCGGTCTGACAGCAGTTCCCCTGAAGTTCTTTCCCCATTGGATACGGATGATCATGGGTCACAAGCTGCCTCCATCGCAGCCGGTGCCATTGTTGAAGGCGCGAACATGCTGGGGCTTGGCTTAGGGGACGCTCGCGGAGGAGTTCCTGGAGCCCGCCGTGCTGTGTACAAGATTTGTTGGATCGATGGATGTTCCAACCCCGATTCTTGCGGTATATGACGATGCAATCGCCAACGGTGTTGATATAATCTCTATTTCATTAGCGACATCCCTTGTTCTAGAATATTTCACTGATCCCCTCGCAATCGGATCATTTCACGCCATGAAACATGGTATACCGACATCAACTGCTGCTGGTAACTACGGGCCTACATATGCATCAGTTTCAAGTGTTGCTCCTTGGACTCTTTCTGTGGCTGCCAGTACCATAGATAGGAAATTTGTGACTAAAGTAAAGTTGGGTAATGGAGAGATTTATAAGGTGAGCATCACGCCATATATCCATATAGATTTCCATACTAAGACATACTAAGAGCAATTTTTTTTTTTTTTTTTGGATCAACACGCATATGCTAAGAACAATACCTTAAGATTCCTCTTTCTGTATGTAGGGTTCTTCTATGAATACCTTTGATCTCAAGAAAGACTTGTATCCTTTCATCTAGGCAGGAGATGCAGGTTTGAAAGGGGTTGATGCTAGGTAATGGCTGTATTTGATTATAATTTTATTAAACTTCAATTCAGTCGTTTAAAAATTGTTGTAATGAGGTAAAATTCACTGGGTATAATTCAGGAATTGTTACCCCGACAACTTGGACAAGAAGAAGGTAAAGGGGAAAATTATTTTGTGTAAAGACATGAATGCTGGGATAGGGCTAGTAGAAGCTGAAGCGGCTGGTATGGTAATGCAAAATGGAAGTTTTGATGATGTAGCCTACGATTACTTCTTGCCAGCTTCCTATTTGAGCAACGGAAGTGCACTTTTCAACTACTTGAAAGGGACGAAGTATTTTACTTAAATTCTCCTTGTGTGATGTGCTTGTGTCTGGAATGTTTTAGCAGATGTCATTTACTTGGTTGTAATCTGCAATTGTTTCAATAGGAAACCAACAGCAAAGTTATTCAAGAGTAATGAAGAAAAGGATAGATTCAGCCCCTCTGTTGCTTCATTTTCATCAAGGGGACCAAATCTTATGACCCACGACATTCTTAAGGTAATGAAATTTTCTCTAGTTGATTAATTTTTTGTTTTATACCCAAAAACTCATAATGAACTCATGAACCGTTTGATTTCATGCAGCCTGATCTCTTACAGATCCCGGAGTTAACATCTTAGCAGCATGGTCAGAAGCTAATACCATGACAGGCTTTCCCTGGGACAAGAGGATAGTTTCATACAACATACACTACGGTACATCCATATCCTGCCCACATGCATTCGGTGCAGCAGTATACATAAAGTCATTTCATCCAAAATGGTGTCCTGCTGAAATAAGTCCGCTCTAATGACCGCAGCTTCTTGTTTTATATTTTTTGTCCTTCTTTTCATATTAATTAAATCTACATGTTACTAGTGTGACTAATATGTAATGTGTTTTTTAGCTTTTCCAATGAATCCTGCGGGTCATCCAGACAATGAGTTTGCATATGGAGCTGGTCACATAAATCCGGTCAACGCCACCAACCCTGGTCTTATATATGATGCTGAAGAGATTGATTACGTTGAATTTCTGTGTGGACAAGGATATGATAACTCAAAAATATTCTTTTCACCGAATGACTTATCCGCTGTTCCAAAGAAATAAATGCAACAGTTTGGGATCTTAACTACCCTTCCTTCACCCTGTATACTTTGGATCATGATAAACCCACGACCAGAGTCTTTCATAGGAAGGTAACGAACGTAGGATCAGCTGTGTCCACTTATAAGGCACTGGTGAATGCCCCAAAAGGGCTTACAATCAAGGCTACACCCAGTACCCTTTCTTTCATCTCTTGGCTTTGTGATTTTCATGCGGAAATGAAATCCTTTGTGGTGAATGTTACTGTAATAGTTGCGGCAACTACTCCTGTTATCTCTAGTTCTTTGACTTGGGATGATGGGGTGCATCGAGTCAGAAGCCCTGTTGTTGGATATCGTCTTCAGAATTGATTACCAACATTAATTTAATGAAATAATTAATATGCTAGTGAACTCACCAAATTTCTTTGTTTCCTTTGGTCATAAGAAATAAATTTTTTTGCACGGTGTTACTTTTATATGGTATATTTGCAATTAATTTTTTTTTTTCTACTTTATGCCATGTAATTCTAATAAAGTTTTAGTAACCTTAAACTTGGTGAAACTTAATGCAATCAGAAAGCACACACAAGTTATTCTCCTTAGGCCATCACCATGTGGTATGATGAGAAAGTTACATGTATTTTTAGTCATAAATTTAGAGTTTAATTTTTAGTCTTTACATACAAAAAAATAATAATAATTCTCTTTTCTCATTTTCATACTATACTAAACTTTTCGAAAAATTACAAGTTTTAGTACAGGAGATTGTGATACAATTGTTCAAGAAAAGGAAACAAAAAATACAAAAGATCAAGATGTAAAATCCTAAACTAATCGTCCGTCAGGTCGAGGGCATGGACGCGTCAGTAAGAGCATCTTCGGCGCGAGCTGGAGATGGCTGGGCAGTGGGTTGGTGGGCTGGTGCAGTAGCTGGAGTCCCCGTTGGCACCATGGTGGGCTGAGAGTTTGGGGGAGTGTTCGACGACTCTGGCTCAGCCACTGGAGCCCCCTCACCCATGCATCAAACGAGGGTAGGCCCTCTAGATCCTCCCTTTCTTCTAGGACTGAGGGAGGCCAGACAGGTACCTCCTCCTCGTTGAGCTCCCATCTCAACCGCACCGTCGCATCTGCAAGTGGAGTAAGGCTCTTACCCTGCTTGTCGAGGTCCTCCCGTCGAAGAACGCCAGCTCGCCTATTGGGAAGTCCGGGCGGTGTTGCAGCACCTTCTCACAGATCTCGCCGTAGATCTCCATGGTCATGTTTGCAGACGCCACTGCCACCGCGTCTTGGAATGCAGCCGACCCCACCAGCCATTCTGCCCCATGAGCTCGGGCGATGCTTATAGAGCGCCTGTGAGATGTCTTCAATTCGTTCAGGGCCTCTTCAACGTCGTTGAGGTTCTTGGTGGCCTCGGCGACCTGGTTCCTTAAGGAGCCCAGCTCGTTCAGAGTATGGTCCCTCTCGGCCTCGGCCTTTTTAGCCCGTTCCTCAACGCGGGCGGCCTCGTTCCTAGCTGCCTGGATCTCGCATTCTTTTTCAGCACGGGCCCTCTCTAGCTCCTCCCTAAGCTCATTGTTCCTACTCGCAAGCTCTTCTGCTTTACTCTCCGCTGAAGCAGCTCGGTTGGCCATCTCTAAGCCTTGCAGACGATTGACGTCGTCCACCAGGCTAGCCTTTTCTACAGCCAACTGTTTGCAGTTGGCACTGAGCTCGTTGTTCTAAGTGCAAGCTCCTTGATCATTCTCGAACAACACGACCGCGTAGCTGAACGCTTGCCAAACAGCAATAACTGTTAGTCTCTTAGGTGAAATAGTAGAATAACCACGCAACTGCGAGGAAGTACTTACGTCCATCAATTTGATCATGGCGACCTGCCCGCCATGCTGCTGTACATAAATCCTAGCCCGTTGGCGATCTACGGGGGGCACAGAACTCTGCATGCCCTGCACCATGGCGGGTTGGTAGTTCGTCTTCACGTAATTGAAACCCTCCAAATACGCAATCCTGGGCGCTGACAGTGAGGTCGACGCAGATGTGGGCTCAGCTGCTGCTCGTACCGTGGTAGATGGCGGGTTTGATGAGCAGGCGGCTGTAGTTTGAGCGGCCTGCGCGGGCTGAGCCCCCAGACTTGTTCTACGCCGCATGAGGGGGACTTCATCTTCGCTGTCAATCTCCTCACATGCACGCTTGCATGTACTAGGGGCCACAACTTCAACCCTCTGCTCGTCGCAAGGCCTGGACGCCGAGCTAGGTCCACGATGCGACGAGCTGCGTGATAATGGCGTTGGTGGCGGCCGCTCGTCATACCATGTTTACCTTTATGAAGCGCTACCCGCCGCGCGACCTTGGGAACCCTAGGCTTGTTGGCGCTGCCTCTCCAAGATGCTGCTCATTTCTCCTACACAAACAAATACATAAGACTCAACTTGGCTAGAATTCATCATATGTGATAAAAATATACCTTCTGCGAACTGATTTGCCACGTTAACAAACCAGAACACTACGAGCTACTCCGAGGTAACCAGGGCTTCTAAGTCAATCAAATTCTTCCTCCTCGCATACTCTAGCAGCTGATTCTTTATATCTGTGTCCCGAGGTAGCAACTGGGGGTAGTTCACATGTGCGTTCGGAATGCGCCATTCAGAGAGCCAAGCAGCGAGGTCGTTATTTATTCTATATGTTCGCGTATCACGAACAAAAACGAACTGCCTCTTCCACCTCGCCACCTTGTTCCTCACATTTTTAAAGAGCTGGCTCTTTTCCCTCCCAGAAAGGTAGTACCACTTCGCACCTCTGGAGTTTGGGCACAGCCGACACTGGAACAGCGACCTGAACACTATCACCTTGGCCGGTACCTCCAACCTCGCACACAACAGCATAAAGCCTATGATGAACCTTATGCTGTTGGGTGTCAGTTGCGTCAAAGCCAGCTCGTAATCCGCCAGCAGATCAAATATCAGCCCGGGTAGGGGAAATCGTAAGCTGGCGTCAAAGTGATCCACGTACACTGGTATCCAGCCCGTCTATGACACCGTGCAGGCCCTCTCATTTGGTGTACTAGCTCAGAGCAATATTGTTCTGGGGATTTGGTACAACCTCACCATCTCCTTAAGTTTCTTGTATCCACTTATGGAGGGTGTGCTGTCAACCACTTCATGATGAAGTGCCACCCTGAACCTAAACCTAGAAGGCAAATCTTTGGGCGCCTTCCGTAGGTTGCTCAATCGACCCGTGATTGCCTTATTTTCCCATTCTCTAACCACGGGCAGATATGGTTCATTGCCAACCACATTCCCCATCTCTTCCTCGCGGCTGGGTGTCTCTTCAAAAGACGAGCTACTAGATGATGAAGTGTGGTGGTCGTCACCCTCTTGTGCGCTTAAACTGGCACTGCTCTCAGATGTAAGGGTTTCCAGCAAGTCTCGCAATTCCGGCAAAACAATCATTGCAATCGACTCTACGGACATCACATGCTCTTCCTCTTCTATACCCTGGTTACCCCGAAGTTCTCCAACTTCTCTAACATAGTCCATTTGTTATTACTTGAAAAAATAAACTGCGAAATCCTCTGGCAATGTTGCCTGAAAAGCTTGGGAGTTCTTTACTGCAGAGGAGTGCAGATAATATGGAAACACAAATGCCAAAGAAATAACAGAAGTGACAAAGGGGTTAAGCGCCATGCCATAATCATCGTACGCGCCTCTCTGTCAACCACTCAAAGCTTTATGCATGGCAGCCACTTAGAGCTTGACGTGTAACGCCTGCCGGCTTTAGCTGTCACGTCTCTTCAAATGCTGAGCCAGCATTTATTGCGGGGAGACAAAAGGATATCTGTTGTTGGCAGAAGAATACCAAACGCCCTGAGCAAATCTCCTCAGAGATTCGCCACAATTTGAGATTTGAAAAATCTAAAAGCTATAGAGGTTGAGCATGAAGTGCCGAGCTCAACCACGAACTGTTGGCAGAAGAATACCAAACGCCTTGAGCAAATCTCCTCAGAGATTCGCCGCAATTTGAGATTTGAAAATTCTCAAAGCTGCAAAGGTTGAGCATGAAGTGCCAAACTGCAGAGGTCGAGCACGAAGTGTAGAACTTTAGCACGAGTTGCAGAGTTCAAACACTTACAGTCGAGGTCAGCCATGAGCTTCAGAGGTCGAGCACGAAGTGCAAAGCTCAAACATGAGCTACCGAGGTCAAATGCGAGCTGCAGAGCTCAAACACTTGCTGCCGAGGCCAAGCACGAAGTGTAGAGCTCAAACATGAGTTGATGAGGTCAAATACGAGCTGCATAGCTCAAACACTTGAACACGAAGTGCAAAACTTGAACACGAGGTGCAGAGGTCGAGCATGAGCTGAAAGATGTGCAGCACGAGCTGCAAGGTGTCAACACCCTCAAATTAGAGATCTTTTCAGAGATTCCAAATTCGAAGTCTTTAGAGATCAGATCGTAACAAATTAAAGATTCACCTCAATTTTGAACATCAAACGTTAAATCGTCACCAACTCCTTCAGATTTACTCTGTATTCTCGAGATCTACATTATAGTGACAATTCAGGTCGCTCATTTCAGCCCGTCTGGGGTGATTGGTTCAGCGCCTTCGCTATCTGCACGCCTTCACCCTGCTACAGAATCCCTTATGACTCCGGTCATTGCTTATACCTCGGCTTCGGCCACAATAACCTAGTGTCACATGCTTTACTTCGGCTCCGGTCACAATGACCGAACGTCACATGTTTTACTTCGGCTCCAGCCACATGACTCCGGTCATTACTTATTACTTCGGCTCCGGCCGCTATGACTCCGGTCATCATTATTTACCTCAGTTCTAGCCATAGTGGCATCGAGTCACCAGTTCTACCTCAGCTACGGCCATAGTGACCACGAGTCACCAGTTCTACTTCGGCTTTGACCATAGTGACCCCGAGTCACCTATTTTACTTCAGCTCCGGCCATAGTGACCACACGTCACCTATTTTACTTCGGCTACGACCATAACACATGACTCCATGTCATGCAATTTTACTTCAGCTACGGCTATAACACATGACTATAACACATGACTCCGCGTCATGCATTTTTACCTCAGCTACGGCCCAAAACACATGCACCGAGCTCGCCTATCCGGCTCGCTGATTAGCACCGAGTTCGCCTGGTTTTAACACCAGCTCCCCACACCTGCTCAGTAGAAAGCTGGCATACACATACACATCAAACCAGGCACGCTGGTTTCAGGTCGCCCAGATCGACCGTGCATGAGGTCAGTCATGCACCAAAGACGTCACTCCTCATCCCTAGGGTCAGACACCGTGCTCATGAGGCCCTCAACCCAATTCGTCAATCGAACATTAAGGGGGGAGTAATGTTGGGATTAGGCCCAACACCCGCTTCGGGCCACATGCAGCAGGCCCAACTATGCACCCACAGGCCCAAGAGGAGGAGACATACCCACATGACCAACGCGACGTGGGCCAATGAGATGCTTACATGTACAGATGCATGTCAGCACTTGGGGCTATAAATACCCCCCAACCACCTCCGATGAAGGTAATTAATCTCTACGCTTCTCTCTCTGCAATTACTCTTTGAGAGCATCTTTCTCTAGAATATCGAGTATTGCTGACTTGAGCGTCGGAGTGTTTTCCCCGAGGAAATATCCTTGAGATTTTCAAGTGTAGAAGCAGTTGAAGACCTCAACAGTGTTGGATCGTGAAGTTGCCCAAACAATTCACATATTTAAAATTTGGATACGAAATTCGGCTCAACCATCTATCAAAATTTGGATACGAAATTCGGCTCAACCATCTATCAATTTATTGATGTAATTCATCCATAAAAAAGAGAATGTGGGTGGAACTGTAGGGGAATGAAAAGTCCAAAATTAGGCCGGCAAAGCTTTTCTGTGTTTAATGTTAGTCCTCTCCGCAGGACTACACGCGTCTATACGCGCCGCTCCAGATAAGTTTATTGGGAGTTGACATGTTAGGACTTGATACTATTTTTTTTATCAGCTTGGTACTTCATTGAATTCATTGTTCTTTGTCTTTTTTAAGAAAGGTTGAGACTTCAGACTTGACCAAAACCATGACGAGTTTTGTGGCTCAGTCAGTCAAATCTAACACTAGCGTCAAATTTTAGGACTCCT